TTAGAAGTTGGATTTCCATATGCTCTGATGTGTTTCGCCTTGCTTTTCTAATGTCCTGATGTCTGTAGGTTTCCCAGGATGTAGGTTTATAAAACGGCTTTGAGGTTGATTTTTCAAGACCTGTGGTTGTTGACATGTCCCCAAGCCTTTCCTCCCGGCGAGGCCCTTCCTTTCAGTCATTTGATTCTTCTCCTTCCCCATGTTTTCAGCAGGATCATGTCTGCTTTGGCCTCTGTCCACACCGTAGCCTCATATATGTTTCTCTGGCCAGTCAAAATTCTGCTGCTCCGTGAAGTTCCAGGGTCTATTATATAACAAGTACAGCCAAGATTGATCACTTCTGGTACTCTATTTCACACGATTAAGCCCGGAATTCTTTGTTACTGTACCGTCTTTATTTTCTCTCTTTGATTCCCTCATCCTCCCACCCCCAAGCTTAGATGCTTCTTGAAGACATTCCTCTCAAGTGATGCCAAGTCCATTCTGAGTTATCGCCATTTTTGCTTTAACAGCAGGGAGCACTGGCTGGTCCTTCAGCATCTTCACAACAGTGACTAGGGGTGAGCTCCTGTTGGTGTTGACCCACCTCATCTGCTGACTCTCTGCTTTACCACATATAGTTTCTTTCTCCAGGGACTGGTCCTTTTGAAGAAAGGCACAGCCTAGCCAAACTCACTGCCATCGAGTCGATGTGGACTCGTGTGGACCCATAGGACAGTGTAGCTCTTCTCCTGTAAGTTTCCATGAATGTCACTCTTTACAGGAGTCGAAGGCCCCATCTTCCTCCTGAGGAGTGGCTGCTGGTTTCGAATTGTTGGCCTTGAAGTTCGCAGGCCCACGGCTAACCGTTGTGCCAGCATGGCTCCTAATAAGGGGTGCAGTGTGAGTGAGACATGGTCTGAGAAGCATTCTGGTTGTCTTTCCACAGAGATAGATTTGCTCATCCTTCTGCCAATCCGTGGTCTATTCGGGATTCTTCAGCGTCCCTTCTTCCCAGGTCGTCCTATCCATATAGGAGGCACGTGAAGATGCTGTGGCTGGGACCACGTGCTCCTCAGTCCCCAAGTCACGATGCTTTATTTTTAACACTTCAAAGAGCTCTTTTACGGGAGTCTTTCTCATGGCAGTATGTCCCGTGATTTCTCAACTGTTGCCTCCATGCATGCCGATTGTGGATCGAAACAAAATGAAATCCTTGACAACTTCAGTGTTTTCTCCATTTATCATAATGTTATCTATTGTTCCAGGGGTGACCGTTTTTGTTTTTGTCTTAAATCTTGCGGTGTAAACCATAGCAAAGGCTGCAGTCTTTAATCTCCGTCAGTGTGTGCTGGACCGTCTCTTAACTTTCAGCAAGCAAAGCGTGTCCTCTGCATACTGCAGCCTGCTGATGACACTTCCTCCAATCCTGGGGCACGTTCTTCTTCAGCGTCCCCTTTCTCTGATTAGTTTTCTTCATTGGCTGTCCGTGTAGTTCATAGCATCATTCTTGGCTGTTTTCATGAAGGAGACTCAGAGAAACCCCATTCTCCTAATTCTGAAAGACAAATGGCATTCCAAAAATCTCAGTCTTAACAGCCATCCGATATAGGTGTCAAATGTAATGGTCAATTCCAATGGTAATACATTTTGTTTTGGTTTTTTTTTTCCTTTTATACTAAAAGGAATGCTGTTTCCATCAGCTGTTTCTCTTAGCCCAGTGCTCAACTGTTCTCCGCATTATCTCTTACAGTGGGAGGCCTGTTTGTATTGTAATTTGCAGTGCCCATGGCGGTCCCCAAGAAAGGAAGTCAAGGAAGCAACAGCATGGGTTGGGAGGTGGGGGCACGGGGCGAGGATCAAAAATGCCCTAGCCGCACCAGGGCCTCCCTTTCATTCTTATGGCCTGAGTCCTTTTTACCATTTCCCCCTAATCATAAATTAGTATATATGTAGTTATGATGGGAATATTAGATATGTGTGGAGTTTCATATATCTTTATTTTAACAGTTTACATATGTAAGAAATTACACTACTGGTTATGTGCTGGTAGGCTAGGCTCGCAACACACTAAGATGGAAATCTCAGTGATTGAACAAATCAAGTGTGTGCTCTCATGCCAGTCTGAGGTTTGGTTTGGTTTTGTGTTGTTGTTGTTCAATGGCCTGCCATTCAGACACTCAGGACCCAACACCGATCTTACAATCTATGGATTCAAGAAACACTTTTGTCTATCACCCACCTTAAATGATGGGGTGATCACTGTTTGGGGGACAAAAACAATGAAAACTTGAGCTGTTATTTATGCACTCAGATCAGGTTTGCTTGCCTGTTTTATGCCCCCTCCCCCATGCCCCAGAATATGTTTTTATCCATTAATTATTATTAAGAAGTAAATGTAACAGACGCTAGGGGCCTGGAACAATGACTAAGAGCTTCCGGAATGTAGTACATGGATGTGTAATCCCAGAAGGAGATTATGTCCTGAGAAACTGATGACTTGGCACACCCGATCTTCTCTTCTTCCAGCCCTAGACCAGTGCCTGCGCAGGCAGTGGCATAGTGGACACTTGTTGAGTGAATGAATGAATTATAAGCCTCTTCTTAGCTTGGCCATCGCTCTAAACAGAATAATTTTAAAAACCCATTTAAACACGTTCCCCATCTCCACCCATCTGTCAGTGGGGACTTTTGTGGTATTCTGATGCAGAACACATTCCAGAGGGTCTTCCAGTCTGCGGTAGACTAGGAAGAAAGGTGTGGCAACCTACTTCTGAATGGGCATCCATGAATGCCCTCTGCATCGCACTGGTCCAATCTGCAGCCTTTCAGGGGATGGGGATGGCACATGACCAGCAAGGGCTCCCCCGCCCCTCTCTGGGAGGGCTGAGTCAGGACAACTCAATGGCTTCTAGCAGCAAGCTTGCCCCCCTTCATGTTTGTCTGGCCGTGCTCAAAGGAAGACCTGAACTTGACCTGCAGCAACGGAACATCAGGCCTGGACTTAGGGAGCGTTTGCCCAACTCAGAGGTTTGCCTCCCACTCCATGAGCTGGTACCCCATAAGGCTTCTGGAGCGGGCGTCAATTTTCAGTAAAAAATAGCAAGTGCATGCACTGCATAGATTTAAGAAAGGAAACGAGGGATCTGAAGATGGTCGACAAATTTTAAAAATCCATTCAGTAGAATGATTTAAATCCCTGAGGAGTGACGTCGGGGGCTTTGAGTGTCACAGCCTTGGGGTGGTGCATTGTCTGTGTGTGGAGACCAGTGGGGAGCATGACCAAAGGAAGAGGATTGTAGTGGTCTGTGGTGTAAGGAGAACACTGGGGAGCAGGGGCTGGAGGGTCTTTATCAAGCGGTGCTTCTGCTCGAAGTGAATGCAGCTCGCTAAGCTGTAAACCAGCCAGTCTCATTCACTGCTTAGTGTTCGGCAAATGACTGGCTCATTTTGCTAGAATAAAGCAGGCTCGTGAAATCAATAATTTTCCTCTTCATTTATACTGTATGCTCTCCCACCCCACCCCCTCCCTCCTTTTGGAGCAATCCATAAAGCAAACCTAACCATCTCATTGAGCTAAAAAAGTTCAGAGCATTTCTGTAGAAAACACTACCAGTTTCCACTTCCCCTCGGTTCCCTCTTCTTGGATCCGGACGGCTCAAGGACACATCTTCCTGTAGGTGCAAGGTCAACGGGCAGTCATAGGAATGTCAGTGGTGGGACTTGCTGCAAGGCCTTGGTGAACACCGGCCTGCTAGCATTTGGTCAGCGAGGGACTTAAATGCCATCATTGAGAACTAAGGATCCAAGCTTCTTGTGTTTTAGGAAAGTAAAATGTCAGTATCCAGATTTGAGGGTTACGAAACCAGCCAACGAAGTCACAATGAACCATTTCCGCATAAAATAAAAAAGCAGAGCTTCTGTCACGTATTCAGATCAGGGTCTGAAACTGCATCAGTATCTGAACTTCAGATTGCTAGGAACCCAAATCGCTCTGTAAAAATGCATGAGCCCTTTTCCTCTGGCTTTTCCATTTTCACTTGCTTTTGTGAAGAATTCCGAGGAAGATCCGCTAGCTTACTATTGACTTTAGAAATAGGTTTTGCGGGGGCTCAAGTACCATGCACCCTTCACTATACCTGAATTATGTTTGTTCTTGGGTAATGAATACTTTTTACCTAGCTATATTGCACTGTTAGGCACTTCGACATTTTCATTTTAATGAAGAAAAGTTATTTGTTCCCCAAAATGAAACTCCCCTCTCTCTGTGTACGAGCTCCTCCTGAGGAAGCATGTCTAGATTCTGTGAAGAAAAAAAATAAGAATCCATTTCAAGTCTGCTCCTTGTTTACCTAAAGATCTGGGGATGACTTGGGTGTCTGTCACACACCAAAATCAAAGTCAATTTTCAGCCTAAATCTAATGATTTTGCCCTTTCATGACTCATCACTGAATTACAGACTTAAATAAATGTAGGTTTGTGAGAAGAGCAAATATTGATCTTAAGACTTGAAATATTTATTGGGTAGATGAAGGGAGCCTGAGATCTTAGATGTATATATCTAAGATCTCAGGCTCCCTTTAAAGCATATATATATGCATATATATATATGCTTTAAAATGACTTTGTAGTTTTGGGGTGTGTTTAGTTGGCATCATTGAAAATCTCATGTTTGGGTCAGTTCATTGCATGAAAACAAGAAGAAAAGAGGGAAAAACTGTTTCTAAGATGCTTAAATTTCCAAGATGCTGCCTGGTGCACAATTGGCTGGACTCTTGCCTTTCACTCTGAACTCGGGGTGGTACACATTTCGCTGTGTGGTTAGTTGTTCAAAGAATGTCTATCATATCGTGTCAATATTTTCTGTTTACTGTTTTTCCTGGTAGAAATGTTTGCCCGTTTTAAAAATAACAAACTAAGTTGTTGCTACCTGATTTGAATAAATCAAGCCAGAAATATCCTGACAGTGCACCAAATGAGGCCTGTGTGTGTAATGTGAGTTCTTTCTTTTCAATTTTAGAATCCACCTTGTCCTATGTTAGGCAGCTGGAGGCAAGAGTAAGGCAGCTGGAGGAGGAGAATCGCATGCTTCCCCAGGTGGGTGATTTCCAGAAGTTCATAGCTAGTCAGTGTCATTTGAGTTATAGCATTGTATTTGGAATTTAAAGTCTCAATTATTTTTTCTCCCTTTAAATCATAGAAATCATATTGTACATATGCATTCATGAATGTGGAGTGTGGTTACGATCCGTGACCGTCTTGCATGGCCTTTAGGTGCGATGCTGGGACTCACGTGTGTGAAGTAAGCACAGAGAGCGATTTTGGAAGGAAGAAGAAAGGAGAGAAAGACAAAGAAGTAGAGATTAAAGATGGTTCGATTCTAGTACTGGTAGACATCTTTCATGCATGATGCTGGTCGATATAGGAAGGGGCTCAACTTTAAATACAACATTTGTTCATTTATGAGCTA